CCCCAAAACCCCAAAACCCCAAAACCCCGCCTTACACAATTTTATTGAAACTAAATTAACTTTTAACATACCTTCCAGAGTCCGGTGTAAATATAGGAATAAATATATGCTCATCAAAAATATAGAGCCAAATATGTATTGTAACCTATTTTCGAAATTTATTTGGCGAATTCTTTCGAAATGCAAATTTTGAATGCCAAACACATTTTTAATTCATACTTAAAGTTGCACAATAAAGTTTTTGTAAGTTGTTAATACTCAATTTTACCACAATTTTTTAACCTTTTTCATACCTTCTTTCTTCGCATGTTTGATGGCCATTTCAGTAGCCTTTTTCTCTACTACTTTGGTCACATCTTTCTTGATAGAATTTACATCAAGGGGGGATTTCTGAGTTTCAGCTGCATTATCCTCCTAATGTTGAAGTTAGAATATCATTCTGTAAGTAAAGAGGAAGCTAAATTTTATTTAAAAGGCTTAGGTTGTATTGACTTAAAAATATTGAAAACATGTTCTGCTAATTTCCGACTAGTCTCTGTAATTTCCCCTCCAGTAAATAAGAATAGGTGATAAATATAAAGTTTGTTAATCAAGTAGGAGACATAACTCTTCTAAACTCAACCACAAGGGTGTTCTTTAAATGACTGGGGTCGTTTGGAGCCTTTTTAATTAAGGCATCATTACATAACTCACTGAATTACAATCAAAGGTAAACACTCGCAAATTAACTAAATTTCAAACATAAAGTTGCCATTTCATTTTGATTCCTTAGAGATGGTTGGAGGTAAATGCAAGTTATGAATCAGCAAATTATCTAACCATAAAATTTTGATTATTTATCAATTAATTTGATTCTTGCAAGATTCTTAGTTAGTATTAGCAAGTTTACACATATTTATTAAACAAAGCAAAGCTTGATAATTAATTTCAGAAATAAATAAGTGGAATAATATGACGTCTTTAGGTTCTTTCTTGCTCTATCGAAAATTCGCCCCATTCTAATCGAACGAGAGGCACAGATAAATATTAAATATTTTTAGAAAATGTATTTCGTCGTGTTTAACCGATGAATAATGCTTAGTTACGTCAATGAAAATATTGAGACTTTGGTTGCTCGATTTTGTAATTCGAAATTTAGCATAATAATGAAATTTTGAATTTTATTTAAAGCTCTTCAGTTTATTCAACTCTGATCCAATAGTTGACACAAATTGTCGTTAAGCTCTGAGCACGCTACTAGTTAGCACTTTGAAATATTCAAATGACTGCACCTAATAACGTCAATTGAGCTCAGGAATTTTTAACAACTAAGATGTAATTTGCTGACTGCTGAAAATAGGATCTTATAGTTTACTTCAAATATGTAGTGGAAATTTAAAACTAAGTTTTAACAAGTGGTAGCCAAATATTTTATCATTACTTTAAATACTCTTAGTATGCTTATTATCTTTAATTCGAATTATTAAGCAGGACAAGATAATTTTATTAATTCTTGCTAACACTTTTCATTCAAGTGTGAATTCTGGAATTTAAATTTTCGTGCAAATTTAGAGATGGCAATTTAATCTTGGAAGCTTCATGACCAACTTTAATTCAATTCAATTCAATAATAATAAGAAATTTTGGTTGACTTCAAGGCTGAGTTTACGAAAAATGTTGGTTAAAGAACGCAGGCGACCTCTGAAAGAGCTTGACTGGAAGAATCGTGTCTAGCCTTGCTACAGAATATATTATTCTCTCTAATTATCATTAAGGCTTCTCCATCCCGGCTCAAATATTTTTATAGGTGGGCATGAAGAAAGTGAGTGATAGGCTTAATCATCCACTTTGTTTATATAGTTTCCCTATTCCCATTTTATTGATCAATTTCTTGCACTTTTGTTATCTCTTACTTTATTATCTTTGGCAGCTTTACTCTTATCCTGAGCTTTAGTAGTCTTCTTAACCTGACTGGTGGATGCTTGGCAACCCATGATGAAGATATTTTATTATTATTATTTAAATTTAATTTTCTTCATTTTTATAGAGTCTATTGGGGTTTTGGGGTTTTGGGGTTTTGGGG